TAAAGTAGGCCATCAGAATATGAATGTTTAAACTTTCCATGAGCAGGTAATGAACACAGAGAATCAAGTAGTTAAAACTGTTAAAGTATGAACATTACAAAGGCTGCATACTCCCTGGCTCCCTTACATACTCATATAATATAACTTAATACTTAGCAGAACTTCCACAGTGGACTAGAGTGTCAAGACGCCATTTTAATCCACAATTTGTAGTGGTTATAGCATCTTTAATCTAAACATGAGGCATGTCTGGTGCATTTGTGTAACACAAAGCATTGCGGTCTGCCACTATGTCATTTTTGAGACCACCACTGGGGAGTGCCAAAGTCACATATGTTAGAGAAAAGCTTCCCTAATCTATTTTTATATACTAATAATGTTTAAAATGAGTGTATGTAATGTGAGTGGTGTTCCTCATAGTGATATATTGCAGCTAATGAGCCAGATGTTTGCCTCAGGTGTTGGAGACCAAAATAAAGCTCAAAGGAGAGTTAATATGTCACTTAAATTGATCAGGTGGACAAAAACACAACTCCAAATAAATGCTAATGTGTCTGCTAGGTGTGTAAAGTTGATAATATCTCATAAGAATTGTATTTACAGCTTGTTCAACTGCACCCAAATGGCCAAAACAAATTAATCCATAGAGTTTTAATGTGTTGTTGTGTGTTACTAATGAAAAAAACATAGAAAAGAAATAATAAGATGTTCCTTCCTTCCAGATGTTGACGCTGGGCGTGGGTATCGCTGTCCTGCTAACGTCCCTGCTGCTGACGTACGTCATCAGTTCGAAGGCCGACATGCTCTTCAGCTCAGGGAGGGAGCCGACCAACGCCACCTACTGATCCAAACGGAGACGACACAGGCCCACGACCACTACCACCACTACTACTACTACTACTACTATTACTACCACAACTACTACTTCTATCCCAAACAGACACGGACAGGCTCTTTTTACTTTAAAACACAACACACGTAGGTACATAGACAGGTTAAACACAGACAACGACGATGACGACGACTCCATGTTTATGGACTCACTCAGGTGAGGCATGACATGAGGACTGGACCGGACTGGATTGGCCTGGATGGATCTGGACTCATCAGGGTCAGAAAACACTGGTCAGGCACCAGCAGGCCCTGCCAGTGGAAAAGATGTTTATATTTGTTTTTGTTTTAGGTTTTTGTTTTTCCCTTTTTTTTTTTTATTGTCAAAGAATCTTTTGTTTACTGTGTCATGGGATAGGCACTAAACATTGAGCATTATTTTGAGTATGATTGTGAATATGTAAATGATGTGACTTGAGTGCGTGAGCAACTGACTGCGGGATTCAGTGTGTATGAATACAACAGACGAGTGTGTGTGTGTGAGTGAGTGAGCCTGAACTTTGTATGAGGATTGCGATGGTATGTGCAATACTTTAGCTGTCTTCTCTGTCAATGTAGTTAACTTATCAATCAGTTCTAATCATAAGAAACCACTTTTTTGAGTCAATGAACAAGTAGTGACATTTAAATTTAAGGTTATTTGCTAAAATCTGAAAAATGTGTGGTGAAGTATTTTGATAAGCTCTAGGTCCTGGGAAGTTGACAACAAACCCTAAATATTTATATTGTTCAGTCCCAGTACACATATAACTACATGTGTTATGTAGTTGTACAGTAGACCGGCAGCAATTTCACATATTGTGATATTTGTGTGGAGAAGAAGAATTTCCTGAGGAGTCTGGCGTGGCTGACAAACGCTTTACTTCATATCGATCAGCTGCCACAAATCAAATCAAATCCAGTCAGAAAATCTTGTGTTTTGACGCAGAAAACGCGCTGGTACTCTGGCTGTGCACTCTTTTTTTTTGGTTCATACCTGTTTCACAAGGTTTTTCTTTTTAATGATAACTTCTGAAAATTGTGACAACATGCAAGATAGGTTTTATTATTATTATTATTGATGGATGTTCATTTAATGGCTGGAATCAATGACCAATTGTGATGCCTTGATGAAGAAATAAACATTGCTTCTTTTCCAGTTTTTTCTTTCATTTTCGATAAACCTTTGACATGTAATCGATGTTTTGGGGCCCAAAGAGCTCACTGTTATAAATGAGGAGGCGTATGGACTGGTTATGTGAATTATGTAATCAATCAAACACTGTGACCTCAGTTTACAATGTTTTCTCTCTATGCTGACACGAGTGTGATATCCTCCCTTTATAGACAATAAGAGATCGTCCACATGTTGGGTTGGAGAGGAGCTAACTTCTGTAGCCACAAGGAACAATAATATAAGAGTTTTCATCAAACTCATCGCTCAGTCATATGTTTTTGTGGTGCTTTACTGAGGGCGTAAGGAAGAAAATGGCAAACTGAGGCCAGAATATTTGGATTTTTGTGTTTCAGAATCACAATAGCATATGTTGTTGTCACATTATAGCACCTTAGTCATGCAGAGAAAGCCCAATTGTCCTGCTTTGGATAGGTGAATGGCTATTTGTTAACCAGAGAAAGTCTAAAAATGCATTTAGTCATTATCTAAACCAGTGGTGCTCGGCCCTCTGACCTTTTGACCCCTTAAACATAATATGCGAATGAGCTGTGAGAAGCTCGTAGAGGAAATGTTATAAAGAGGTAAACGTATCCAGTGTTAAAAAAGCAAAGATTAAGGTATAAATCTGAAAAAATATATGATTTTGTGTAGAAGAACTGCAGTATGTGTTTGTTATCATCGTGTGACTGCTCAGATTTCTCTTGTGAACACATGATTAGTCCAAAAACATCAGGTTGGGAACCAGAGATCTTAATTTAACCCCTAAAAAACAGATTTTAAACAAATAATCAATTAATTTATTTTTTAAAAATCCTGTTTTTCAAAAGGTCTACATTTGTTCAGGTCGCAGTGAGAAATCAGTCTGATTATACAAATCATACATTTTATTTATAAAGCCAAAAAAATCACAAAATCTCCTCAGAGGACTCATTATGTACAATATTTACAGACAGACAGACAGAATTACAAAATCATAATTTATTATAAACATACCAATTTTGTATCATGGAAGGACAATTACTTTAATATTAATATTTATTTAAGTTGTAAAACTAATCCTGACACGTTACTAAAACATGACTAAAGTCTGATGTATCTTGATGAATCTCTGAAAATTAAACTAAATTAAATATTATTTAGTGAGATTTGACTTTAACCTTTAAAAACTATATTATTTAAACATCAAATTTACCAAAACTGTTCAAATATGTCCAACTCTTAAATAGTTTGACACAAAATTGTGAAATAAAGCAATAAATTATTTTAAAAAAGCATTAAATAAATGCTTTTCGATGATAAGAGAGAGTGATTCAGCCTTTAATTGACATTAGTATTACAGGAAAAATGACATAATCCAGTGTTTCTTTGGTAAGGAAAGAGGTAAAGATATAAAGCTATATACCAAAATGTATTTTGATGATGATGATGATGGTTTTGGATGATTTTGCCATCCTCAGCTTCCATAAACTGTCCCTCTGCTTTAAGAGCCATTAAAAAAAGAAAGGGGGAGGGGGGGAACTCACTTTGTGACATTACACTCTTCCTCACTTGAGTGTGCGCACTCACCAGAAACCAGAAACATCCCAGGCGGTGATACATGTGCTGCGGGGGCCTGTGAACCACACGGTCTTCACAGAGGGGCCCTGATGTCCCCCAGGGCGGAAAAAAAAAAAAAAAAAAACCCAAGAGGAGGGGCCAAAGTGGAGAGCTGGAGGCGGGGCGCACGGTGCTACGGCTGAGTGGAAAGAAAGTGGAAAGTGAAAAAATACCTGAATGGACAATCTGGAATAAGTAAGTAGCATATTTCTGTGGAAATAACCTCGAAAAGCGGCCGGCCGGTGGTGGTGGGTGCATGTGAAGCGGCTGTTACGCGGAAGGAGAGGGGAGGATCCGGGGCGCAGGAGATCTCCGGTTTCCCCAAACATACTACAGGACGCGATGGTTGCCTTTTTTTTTTTTTTTTGGGGTGAAACCACAGGGACACCTTTAGGACCTCATCGGTCCATATTGTTGTCCCCCCCCCCACACACACACACACGCCGAGGCCACGTAGCTCTGTGGATGCAAGGTTTAAACGTGGAAGGAGTGTTTGTGTTTGTGAGTGTTTTTATATGGCTGATCCAAAGAGAGAGAGAGAGAGGGATGAGATGCGCATGGAGGGAATGATCGCGTCCAGTTTGATTTGTATAGGCCGAAGAGGGGTTATTTGAATGTTCCCCTCGGTGTTGGAGGATCCGAGTGCGTCCATTCATTTGCTGTGAGCGCAAAGGAAAAGGGAAGGAGCATTTATTTTGGGGGATAATTTGGCATCAGGACGCGACCGGTGGGGCCTGGGAGTCTCCCATTGTCCTGCCCTGCTCCAACACCCTCCTTCTTTTTTTTTCTCCTCATTTTTGTAGGTCGCACAACTCTTTATATTCGCCACTAAATGCTCCCGGATGCTTACAGTAAGTCAGCCTTTGTGTGCATGTGGAATATTGTTGAATTATAGATGCAGCTTTGACTCCTGATCCATGTGAACCGCATCCATCAAAGATAAAAATGTGTTTGTTTTTTACATACATACTGTAGAACAGTGTAATGTTGCTTTAGCAGCAGTGGGCCCTGATTTACCTGCTGGGATTGTAACTTCTTTATTTTATTGTGAGAAAATGAGAGTTGTGGCCTTATTTATGTGTATGAGAAGTAAGCTGTATAATGTTATGAATCCTCATTAAGAGAGAAGCCCCACGGTATACTAACCAGTTACTATAAACTGCTTCCAGTGGGACTGTTGTAGTGATAAAACAGGACATAAAAATACCTTTTAAAGGACCAGAGGGTCAGTGTAAATTGTGTTTTACAGTAACAACACAGTGAGGAGTGAGAGGTAGAATAAGAATACAGCTGGGTGCTGTAAAGGTTTCGTTGATATACATTCATTCAAACAGCCTTTATGAGTATAAATAAGATTTTGTACATTAATAATATTGCCCAGTAGGATCTAAACTAACTAAGATAAGAGTCTAAGGTGACTTCTAACAGTGTGCTTGTTTTGTCTTAAACCCACATTCATTTTCAGTGATATTAAACAGAGAAAAGCTTCAAACACTCACATTTGAGGAGCTAAAGCCACAAAATGTTAATTAACTTTCTCCTGATCCGCTAATCAATTCATCGTCTCAATACCGATCAGCCTGTCTGACTTCATGCTTAAAGGGTCTGTTCACTCAAATTACAGAAAACTACATTTCACCTCATGTGCCTTTTGGTTTGGTTTACCTCATTGACAGTTAAAAGTAGGATAAAGTCCAAGAAGACCAACGTTATTAAGGCAAAAACAGCAATTCAGTGTATGTAGGATGTATCGTTATCTGAGGAAGCAGACAGAGTAGAAGGCATTTTAGTCATTCATTCGTACTGTATAACATTGTTGAAGGTGCAAAGTATAGATTTAATTCCGATGAATTACGTTTTTCAAATGTCTGGTTCTGTCTCATCAAAACATTACAATAATCCAACACAGAGAAAAGCAAATAATCACATTTGTGAATCTAGAACGGTAAAAACCGATACGTTTCTGTCATTCGACCAATCAGTTGAATGATTCATTGACTAGTAATTTCAGCTCTAGTTTAAAACCTTGATGGAATAAAAGGTAAAACATACATTAAGATATCTGTATTCTCCTTTAGGAGCGCTTGTGCCGACTGTGTCTGGACTGTTTCCCCAATGTTGTCTGTTACATCTGTAGATCATCTAGTCGAACCAGGGGGA